ACTCCATTCATACGTCCACTCAGTGGTTTCTCCTCCCTGGACCTTCTTGTTCTGGAAAAAACAACCAATCAGAGGCAGGAGGCGGGCTTTAGTGCTGTCAATAACAGTCTTATGTGGCTGCTCATCCTCCCTCCCCTTGCTCTGTGCTGCTGCAAGCATAGCCTGTTGTGAATGCTTAGTCTAGTTAGCATAGCTACCAATGACGGCAGCTAAACGGTTTCCTGTAATGATGTTATTTCTCCACCATAACCATGTTTCGCAGTCAGTGAGTGAGGTTGATTGACAGCGTTAAGACTGTCCTCCTGGTTCTGATTGGTTGTTTTTTCCAGAACAAGAAGGTCCAGGGAGGAGAAACCACTGAGTGGACGTATGAATGGAGTAGATCTGGGTCAATAATACACAGGACAAACAGTACAGAATGGACTTTCATTGTCTCTGAGTCCAGCAGTGGAGACTACACGTGTCAGTGTAGAAACAGAGACGACTCGTATTCTTCAACACAGTGGAGTGGAACCATAACAGGTGATTTAACTGTTGTTTTTTTTTTTCTGCTGAACGATTTTAGTCAGAGTGCACGTTAAAGTGTCTTTTGCTTAGGCTAAGTAGCTCATTATTGTGACATAAGTTTGGCTGCGACCTGGTCTGAGCTGTGAGGATAGATCAACAATTTCTTTTTCACAGAAATTTGGTACAACATCCTAACTTCTCCTGTTTTTTACCCAGAGACTGAATGCAGCAGGATTTATTTTCAATAACATCAATATTCACTCAAACTCATATTAGTTTCTTATGATATCATGATCTCTGTACACACACACACATACACACCTACACGCACACACACACACACACATATATATACAGAAGTTATGCATTTTCTCATAAATGAAAACAGAGCTTTCAAACTGTCTGATCAAACAATGAATGAATCAAATAAGTCAGAAAAAAATGTATAATTAATAAGGATATTTGTGCATGAACAGATAAAATTTTTCATAATTTGTGTTTAAAGATGGAAATAGCATTTTTTCAGGAAACAGAGAATGGTGTGACAAAATCTGCAGATGAATAAAATCTGTTTCCATTTAATGTTTCTTATTTCCAGTCACTGTGTCCAGTTCTTCACATCTCGTGCTGCTGATCGTTGGACCAGTTGTTGGATTCATTCTCCTTATTCTCCTCGTCTTGTTGTGCTTCTGCAGACGGTCCAAGGGTGAGACTTTTTTTTTTTTGCTTAATTAACTAAGTACACAAATTTGCTTTGGTTTTATAACACAAAGAAAGAGGAACGATTTTTCAGTTAATGTAGCGACAAATGTCTTTGTCACAGGTTTATTCTGCTCCAGGTCAGTTCCACACGTTTTAATTTATTTGTTTTACTAATAGATTTTGTTTCTGATTTATGTATGAAATTCACTGACTCTTTTTGTATTTGTCATGTTGTAGATGTAAGGCCTCAGAGAGCAGCAGAAACGATGGAGTCAACCAGACTGGCGGTCATGAATACGGCTCTCCTCCTCAGGGTTAGAACCGCTGCAAGTTTTTAGTGATTAAAAATTATTGCTTCTAGCTAACCACCCTATTGTGTTCACATTTTTCTTAGACGTTTGTTTCTTTTCTTTTTTTTAAAAAAAAGAAATGAACCAAACCTATTTTGTGAGAAAATATAAACAGATAAATGATAAAAACACTAATAAAATAAATTCATTGTCTAAAAAATTGCATTTGTTTTCTTCTAATTTATGGAAAAAATAAGGGTACTACTTTGTGTCAAATTTTAATTAATCAAGTTTGATGGATTAAAATGCCACGCCCAAATCAAAAATCAATAAATCGATGCTATCGCACACGACCATCTGTTACATCTCCATCATAAAATGCTGTTTTAATAAGGTTTTATATGACCTTATCGTATAAAACATCTGTTTTAATAAGGTTATATAAAGTCCTTATCATATAAAACATGTTTTGATTTAAATTAAGTTATCAAAATAAAACAGGTTTCTGGAACCTTCTCTTAAATCAAATGGTGGATAATGAGCATGTCAGGGGGCCCCCCTTCTTTCATCATATAAAATTTAAGTTCTTATCAAAATGAGAGACATAGAGAATTCTGGCAACATGACTTTTGACCCAGTTATTCCCTCCCCCCACTAAATGGAAAGTTCTAGATCTATGCAAATTTGCTGATGTGGCTCCTCCTCACACAGATAGACCCCACCCCCCAACTGCTCTCGTCTTCCTGCTCCCCAGCAGATGCCCCATCCCACTTTTATTTGTTTATGTTTGAATAAGCCAATAGAGATAAAGGGGCGGGATTTCTGTTTTTCTGCTTTAAATATTTTTCGGAGACCCCGTCATTCTACTTGTTGCATTTGGAGAGGAAGAACCACTTGCTCTGACAGAAAAAAATGGTCCGCGTTAAAAGAGAAAAACCTCAAAAGAGAAGACTGCAGGAAGCTAATCAACTAGCATGTAGCTCATCTGCTCCAACCTCAGAGACTACAGATGGACAAACCATCACGAGACCCTGCTCCATGGTTGATGCTTCATCCTCTACACTCCTGGATACACTCGGGGTGAATGAAGGTCCAAATAATTTCGAGTCACTATCTACTAAATTGTCAAATATTTATTGACTAATATTTTGTTTTTACAGTAAATTTAAAAAAAAAAAGTTACAACTTAAATAAAAAGAGAATGGTTTAATTTTGTGGACAACGGATCTATATTTTTAACTTTGAGAGCTTTTCTTTCTCTGTGCTGCTCCAGCTGCTGAGCTCAGCCTGTATCAGATAAACCAACAGCCCCTCTGCAACGGTCACTTCCTCTACGTTTACGCTACAACTACCATTACCTGCACAAGACATACGAGGAGCATTTTTATAGTTTAAATAATGATTTAAGCAAATGGTCTTCACTGCATATCAATATGAAAAATTATTTCTGCTGTTGCTGCTACTAAGGATTTTACTATTTATTGAAGTTGTCAAAAATTTCTGTATTAGGGGTTACTTTAACTCATCCTCACGGGTACAAATATCGCTCTGTTGGTCTCAAAGTCGGTCATGACATAGATACACATGCCTTCTCCCATAAAATGTTTGATGAAATAAAATGAATTCCTTTTAAAATGTGACTTTGAAAATAATATACTTCCAACTGAACTTCACCAAATTTCACCAACAAGTCCTTCAATATTGGAAATTAATCTTTAAGCATAACCTTATAAAAGGATTAACACTCCTATTTGGAATAATAGATACATCTTAATAAAGAAAAAAATCCTTTTATTTTGAAGAATGGATGGAAAAAAGGCATTTGGTCTGTTCAAAACCTCATGGATGACAGAAGGAAAATTTGAACTTTGAAGAATTCCAGCATAAATATAATTTTACCTGCACTAAAAAAGAATTTCGAGCTGTAATTAAAGCTATCTGTCAGGCTTTGATTAACACAATACAAGGCTCATTATTTTATACAGTCTCAGTACCACGGCTTTACCCACTGTTTGTCCAAGACTACATTTTTATAGACAAAATCTGCAATAGTAAATTTTCATCATCCTAAAGACTTTCCCTTCCCCCTTGAAAATAAGAAATATCCTTAAAGAATTTTTTTAGTGTATGCAAAAAAAAATTTGATGCAGCTATTTAAAATTCCTTTTGCCCCCCAAAACAAAGGAAATTAATTTTAAAATATTAGATAACATCTATCCATGTAAAGGATACTTAAGACTAAAATTTAATACTGAGGCAAATGACTGTGTCTTTTGACATAAAACCTTTGCAACATTTATCCTTTTCTTGCAGTTATCCATCTAAATTTTGGAAGGATCTTCATAATTGGTTGCTGACTACTAATTTAAATATTCCAACTTTAACTTACAACAATATTAAATTTGGCATTTATATTTTGGACACAAAATTGGAATATATTATTAATAACCTGATCATTATGATTTGGCTGTTTGGCTGTTAAAGTAGAAACAGCCAGGAGACTGGAAAATGAGCTGGCTCTGATGTTGCCTAGCAACATAGCATACATTACATTGTTCCACTGATGGAATCTGATGATGTCAAAGTGTTGTGATGTCATAAGAAACAGATGCCTTGAATGTCCTGCAGCTCAAGAAGCAGCACGGAGATTGGTTTTTCCATATAGGATTGAACATTGCATTTTTTGTAGCTTTTCTGATACATCAGTTGGAGAGTCAAAATGTCACAAATTGACCCTGATTCATTAACAAAGTCCCAAATTAGTCAAATGACAAGAGATGAATTGTACGGAAGCGTATTGCTATCACGCAGGGAAAAAAAATTTCGAGCGCTATCACGTTATAACGTGATACGTATCT